TGACAGCAGTCTGAACTTGGTTGCAGTTTTTTCATCTCACCCTGTATAGTGCGAATTTCTAAGAACCCAGCCTGATCTGACCCCTTCGGACCAAGAGTGACCCTCACCTAAAATTTCAAGATCGTAGCTTCAGCCGTTTCGTCTGGACGTTGATGAATCTCAGTCAGTCAGTCAATCGATCAATCTTTTTAAACCCTACACCACATAGTTGTAAGGGTATTATGTCTTAGTGCATTTGTTTGTAGCATGAAGAAGGAAGCGAGATAGACCCATGGTCACTTTTGAGGATCTCCATAGAATCACTTTTTGAGTTGATTTATGCATGTCAGTCCATCCGTCCGTCTGTCCATGTATTCTTGTGAACAAAATGCAGCTCGCATTTATTATCCGATTGAGGTGAAATTTTACACAAATCATTTATTTGGCCCAAGGACGAACCCTATTAAAATTGTGCACCAAAAGTATAATATCAGCCCGAATAGTTTGGAATTTTGCACATACAACCAAATTGGGCCTGAAAATAAGTATGCCAAATTTGATCGAAATCTGTTCAGATATAGCTATAGCTCCATTATATATTGTTCATCCGATTTGTTATTTTAGTCCACCGCAGCCGTAATATGCACTCCATAACAACGATATTCAGGGAAATATATGAAATAAAGCTCAAAAATATCTTTGACATATTTTCTCAAGATCGGTTGAGATTTGGATATAGATCCCATATATATAATTATATTCATAGCGTGTATGATTGAATTCTCCCATAAAAACTTTTAATTGTTATGTGGAGCTCTACTAAATCATTAGCAAAATGGTGTAGGGTATCATAAAGTCGGCTCCGCACGACTTTAAGACTTTCTTTACTTGCTGACAAATTGGAATATAATTACTTTACTTACATCAAGCAGGAATACTAACCGATAAAGACCTACTATTGATATTGACAGTGTGACATATAAATTTTCTATGGCAACCACAGCGTTTTACGTGGCTGTCTTTTGACGGGTCGTTCATATGAATGAAATCGTGAACACAAAACCAAATATTCAGGCGTTTATTTTAATTTCCCTAAAAAATATAAGAACAACATAATTTCTTTTCATACCCTCCACCATAGTATGTAGGGTATATTAAGTTCATAATTCTGTATAAAATTCTATGTCGTTTTAGCGCTGTCCGTCTGCGAAAATCACTCTAGCTTCTGAAGGAAATGAAGTTGGTTGATAAAATTTTTCTCAGATGCGTGTTGGGTCTGCATCACTTTTGGTATTGAAAATGGGCTATATAGGTCCAGGTTTTGGTATAGCCAACATATAACTATACCGACAGATTTAAGGTTTTCTGGGTGTTTTAGTCACAATGTTAACCCGAATTTGTTGTAAATTGGCAATATTTATTTTTATGATTTGTGTCACACTTTTCACCGGAAAAGTTCTTAATGGGTACTACATCCTATGACAGAAAATTGCATATGCATGTCTCCCCATATTTGGTATTTTGATGATTTAGCGACATTTTCCACCGGAATTGTTTCAGATTTCGTGTTTGAAGTTCCAAATGGACTTGCCTGCCACCGAAAAGTGTCTATGCAGGTCTACGTCTTCGTATAGGTCCCATATAACGGTTCCTTCCTATATTCGGTATTTTGATGATTCATCGGAGTTGTTTCAAATATCGTATTTAAATATCACAATTACATATGAAAAAAATGTCATATACTCGTACCGGTCCACGTCTTCGCATAGGTCCAATTTAACGGTAGCTCCCTATATTCCGTATATTTCATATAATATGTATTTTTCAATGGAATTTAAAAAAAATGCAAATTCAAATCCTTCCAATTGTTGGAGAAGATTCGTGCCCGCCGAACTTACTACTTTTTTACTTCCTTTTTCTCTATTTTGCATGTCCATAGTTCATAAATAAGGGCCAAACAACGAATATAAAGAGCAAATCACATGTTATGCGAACATGGTCATATCGCTACAGAGGGTATATATCATTTGATACGGCCAAGACGTGCTTCATCGAAATAACAAGTTTATACCCAATCCCTTTGACCCAATCTGTTTCAGGACATTTGGATTTGATCTAGGGATGTCCGTCTCTAACTCTCGAAAGGAGTATTCAATTCGATCCAAACTACATACATCGTAATATAGTCAAATTTAGATCGAGTTCGGAAATGGGCACTATCAGCCCACTCCTTCTGGTACCTCCCCCATAAAAGGTCACAGAAGGCAATTTGCCGTATAGAACAAGAATGGATTATCCAATTTGATCCAAACTTTGCAAATCCCAATAGTTGTATCAGTGCTATGTCAGGTGCAAAAATTGACAATAACAGCCCACTGCATCAAGTTCCTGTCCCACGAAATGTCAAAAAGGTCATATTTTGAAAGCTAAAAAAACGCGAAATGAGCAACTGATAATTTTTAAACGTCGTACATCACAATATTTTTACCAACGCAAGATCTGGTGTAACTATTAAATATACCTGACCACTCGCTCCGGTACCTCCCCCACAAAGGGTAGAAATTTTGAATAATTATAACCCTTATAAAATGCGAAATAAGCATCCGATTCCCTTCAAATTTCACACATCCCAAGATTTTTGATAACACAAGATCTGATATAAAGATGGAATATATCGGTTTACTCATTTTGATGATTTCCCATTAAGGTGTCCAGATTTTCAACTACTATGAAGCTCATAAAAAGTGAAAAAAAGCATCCGATTCTCTTCAAATTTCCAGCAATCATTATTTATATCAACAAAAAACCGGAAAAGATGATGGGATATATCGGTTCACTCCCTATGATAAAGGGGTCAATATTTTGATTAACAACGATTCAGGATGTCATATATCCCTTCACCAAATACCAAATTTAAGTAATATTTTGTTCTTTTTCGTACAGTTAAATAACGTATTTTCATAACAATCTCCATATATCTCCTACAGATATCAACAGTGACCTTTATATTAAATTACAGGATTACATTACTTTAATTTCCCCTGTTACCAAACGTAGTACATTTATAGTAGGCGTATCCAAAACAAGCGCTTTCTCTCAACCATAGACAACAAAAGTGACATTCGTATCAAATTTCAGGATTTGAGCTCTATTACTTCAACCAATAACAAATTTCCTACAATTATAGTGCACATTTCCAAAACCATCTCCCTATCTCTATACCAGATACCAATAGAGACTTCAATATGAACATTTATGATTCCAGCTCTTTCCCTTCACCCAATACCCAAGTTAGTTCCATTCAGTACTTTTCCTATAATTTTGGCACGCATTTTCAATTCCTTCACCCAATACCAAATTTAAATACTATTTAGTACGTTTAGTACATTTTTTTCGAAATCAACTCAACATGTCCAGGCTCAACTTGAAGAGCAACTCTTATACCAAATTTCAGATTTCAAGAACTTTCTGTTCACCCAATACCAAATTGTACCGAATATAGTAATATTTAGTACACATTTCCCAAACTTCTTACATACCACAATCCTACACTCCTAATTTCAAAAATCACATCCATACCTCAAACATACAATACCATAGAAATCTTTTTTTCAAAATTTCAGAATTCCACCTGTATCGGTTCACCACAATTCCACTTTGCACCAAATTTAGTAACATTTAATACACATAAGTACAAATTTCCTTTACCCCGACCTCATTTTTCAATATTTGCCGAATGGAATATTGCGATATGTTCAGCTCACGAGCCATTTTTCGGCCACTGCGACGCAGGTTTCGATCAAGTCGCTTCTTTACTTTTCGAACCATTTCTGCTGATGTTGCTGTTTTTTCCGTCCACTCCCTTGACGTCGGGCTACGCTACCAGTATCACGGTAACGAGCGGTGGGTACGAGACACAAAATATTTATTCACATATAAGACCAAAAGAGGGGAATTTTTATTTTTTTTTCTACTCTCATAATCTGCAGGATTTCCCAGCCAAATATAAAGAAATCACGCTATCACGGTTGATTTCTATCACGAATGATTTTTGGAACTTGGAAAATTCTCACCAAAATGCTTTTGTACGCTTGTAAACAATATAATGAGCTGTCACTGCGACAGCTATCGGACGAGTGACTTAGAAATGCAAACAGTCTGCAGTCTCACCCTGTATATCCCAATTCTACACTCCGCCAATAATGTTAAATATACTTAATTTAGTACCGTTTAGTATTTTTCATATACATGAGTACGCACTTCCAAAACTACATCCTTACATCGACACTACTCCACAACCTAGATTTCCATTCCAAATTTAAAGTTTTTAGCTCTACCCCTTCACATGTTACGAAATGGTACCAAATGTAGTACATTTTTGTACTTTTCTTACACTTATAGTGCGAATTTTCAAAAGCTCTTATACACTCAGAGAACTTTTAGTACTTTAGTATTCAGTACCATTATGAATGAATTTCCAAAAACCCAGCCATATCTGACCCCTTCGGACCAAGAGTGACCCTCACCCAAAATTTCATGATTCTAGCTTCAGCCGTTTCCTCTGGGCGTTGATGCATCGTTAAGTCCGTCAGTCAATCTGTCAGTCTTTTTGACTGACAAATAGATAATCGGACATCGGATAAGGGCAAGGAGCTGAGGTTATACATTTGTCGACAAAACCGACTGATACTGAAATATAAATTTCTTTTTCTTCGTTTATTTTTTTAAAAATTTCAATTTAAGTACGCCTTGAAATGAACGGCACATAAACATTTCCTAGCAACGAGTAATGAAGTTTTTCAACACAGCTTTACGATTTTCAATGGCTTTTTTGTTTGGCTCCCACAAAAGAATAATGGATAATCATGAGAATATTATGGTCCTGCTTGGCATTATAAACATTTGTTGAAATTTATTTCCATGGTGGCAGGAAAACGAAAAACTACAAATATTATCACAATTAAGTGCGTTTGTGTGTTGTATTTCAGCTAACATTTTTCTCTTCTTTATTCTTCTTTCAGAGACTTTCTTACGGAATGCCTTTTTCCATCGCCAACACGTCCCTACGAATTGCCATGGGAACAGAAGACCGTTTGGGCCATCATCTTTGGCTTTATGCTGTTTGTGGCCATTGCCGGCAATTGCATTGTCTTGTGGATAGTAACGGGTAAGCTGCACACACACACACTCACACATACATAGTTGTACACAAGAATGTAGTAAACAAAGGAGAAGAAAAGGAAACCATAATCCAAAGGCAATTGCTTTGCACTGCAATGCATTGCTGCTGCAGCTACTGCCTCGAAGAATGGCTGGATAATTTATAAAACATGTTTACACTCATTGCCAACACTAAATCAAATTAAGTGTTATTTATTTATTAACGCAAATGGCTGGCGGTAAAAAGAAAATGGCTTGGTTGGCTGGCTGCCTGGCTGGTTGTGTAATTAAATGATAATGTGGTGAAAGCACAGAGAAGTAATTCTCTTGGATTGTAAATAAGAAATGGAAAATATGTTGTCTACAAAGGCTGCGCACTTATGAAAGGGTCCTTGATGTTCGGAAGGGGCCAATTTCTTTTACTCTGCATTATGTCAGGTTCTAAAAAGAGTTCATATTTCCTGTCAGCAACAACTTTGATGTGGTGTCCGTAAAAATTGCAATTTTTCCTATTTTTTTTTTTTTTTTTTTTTAAATTCAAAAAAAATCTTTGTTATTCAAAAAGAGGTTGTTTTATAAAAAAAATCTGAGAGAATTGCAATTTTCGAATTTCGAAAAAAAATAAAGTTGTGCTGAATTGTACTCGGTTTGTGCTCATTTGTGCGGTTAACATTTTTATCGACCTCTTACCAATTTCGGAAAAAACGACAATTTTAAAACAGAATTAACAGAATTGCAATTTTTGAATTTCGAAAATTAAATATTCTGATTTGTGGCGTTAATTTTTTTAATATCTTTAACCGTTTTCAAGATATGAAAATTTCGAAAAAACAGTATTTTTCAGAAAAATCGCTGTAATTTGTGTAAAAATTTAAACATCGAGATGCGGTAAATTGTGCTGAGTTGTGCTCACTTAGCACAATTTGAGAAAAAAGATAGCAAAGGTATTGAGAAAAAATAAAGAGCACAAATCAAGCACAACAACTCTTAATTTTTCGAAATTTGAAAATTGCAATTATGGAATTCTTTCGAAATTGTCGTTTTTTCGAAATTGGTAAGAGATATAGAAACTATTAAAAAAGCTGTAAGTTCAGCCGTGCCGAACTTTAGCTAACATCATCAAAATACCGAATATAGGCAGGTACCGTTATATGGGGGCTATACCAAAACGTGGACCTGCACAACCAATTTTCTGATATAGACTATGGTAATCATTACGAACTTCAAATATTCAAAAATTTGAAATAGTTGCGGTAAATATTGTCGCTAAAATCATCAAAATACCGAATATCGGGAGGTACCACTATATGGGAGCTATATGAAGACGTGGACCTACACAGACAATTTTCTATCACAGGCTGTAATATCCATTACGAACTTCAAATGCGAAATTTGAAACAATTCCGGTTAATAATGTCGCTAAAATCGTCAAAATGCCGAATATCGGGAGGTACCGTTATATGGGGCTATATGAAAACGTGAACCTACACGGCCCATTTACAAACTTAACCTGCCTACTGGAAAAATAAACATGTGGGCAAAAGTTTAGAATTCTATCTCAATTCATTCGAAAGATAGCGTGATTACAACATACAGACAGACAGACAGATTTGCAGACAGACGGACAGACAGACAAACAGACGGACGTCGCTAAATCGACTTAGAATCTTACGCTGATCAAGAATATATATACTTTGTTGGGTCTGACATGAGAATTTCGAGGAGTTACAAACGGAACGACAAAGTTAATATACCCTCCGTAGTATGGTGGAGGGTATAATAAACGGCACAAACCGGCAGAACTCTTAATTTTTCAAAATTCGAAAATTGCAATCCTGTCATACTTTCGAAATTGTCGTTTTTTCGAAATTGGTAAGAAATATAGAAAAAAATTTAACGACACAAATGAGCACAAACCAAATACAATTCGAAAATTACAATTCTCTCAGATTTTTTTGAAGAAAAAAAAATTTTGTGTATATTACAATTCTGTATAACTTTCCTTTTTTCGAAATTCGAAAATTGGAATTGTAGCGGACAACAACTTTGTCTTTTTAAAATCCATCTGGAATCCTCAATTTATCTATAGAGCTCTACTTTTTATCAACAGCTCCTATTTTATAATAATGTATATTTTCTTACGACATGTATTTTCTATGACAGTCTCTTTCACAATCGATTTGGAAGTTTAGAAGCTGGTACTAGAGTATAGAAAATTTGGAATGGAAAAAAGTTTTTTAAGGTTTATAGTTTGAAGCAAGATTTTTCTATATTATCGAAATAATAACACCTGCCTGATATCCGAGAAAAACTTGAAAGTCACATAGGGGTATATCCAGTCCATTAATTTTAGAAGTTGCATAGGAACTTGTAAACATTTATATGTCAAAATATTAGAAATAAAGTATTATATGAAATATTGAAATACCGAATATAAGGAGATACAATTATGTGGGGGCTATGTAACGACATTGACCTACAAAGGCAATTATCTCCCAGATGGATAAGTACTCATTTCGAATTTAAACACCGAATTTCAAACAAATCCACTTAAAAATTGCTCAAATCATCGATTTAGGTAATATTTGAAGGTAAGGGGAGCTATAGGATATCATGGATAGCACATCTTTGTATTTAAACTGACCGAGACTGTTTTGTTTAATTCAAGCTGGCATCATTGCATCAGACGGATGGACATGACAAAATCGACTTAGAATTGTAGCTATTTAAGAGAAGGCTTCAATCTTGGTGCGTAGGCGTGTGATAAGGCTGAGTTTTTTTTTTTTTTTTTTTTTTTTTTTTTTTTTTTTTGAAACTCTTGCTAAAGGGTACGAAAAGTACTGAAATGTACTAAAAATGTAATACTTTGTATTGCACAAAAGTAATGAGTTAGTATTCTGAAATTGGGAAAGAGAGTCACAGATGGAGTACAGTATAGCTGTACCAAACAGGTCATTTGAAATTCGAGCTTTAAGGTTACGAAAAGTTCTGAAATGGTACTAAACTTCTAAAATGGAATCCTTTGGTACCATGTGAATAGATAGAGCTGAAATTGAATATGGTATGAGAGTTAAGATGGAAAAGTAAGTTTGATTTATGAAAGTAGTACTAAATCTTGAAATGGGAAAATGGGGTGAATGGATTAAGCTGGAATTTTGAAATTTTGTACTGTGGCCCCTATTGATGGTTGATTTGTGGACATGTGGAGGTGGTTTCAGAAATGTGTACCATAATTGTACTATAAGTACTTGGGGTTTGGTGAAAGGATGGAGATAAACATCTGAAATTTGATGTTTAGATCACTGATGGTATTGTTCGAAAGTACTAAGTGGTACTAAATTGGGTATTGGGTGTAGGGATAGGAATGGAATTCCCAAATAAAATATTGAGGTATTTGAAATTATGATATGGAGGTGGTCTTGCAAGTGCGTACTATGATTGTACGAAAACTACTAATACTACTATAATTGTACGAAAAGTACTAAATAGTACTAATTTTGGTATTGAGTGAAAGAATATAGCTGACATTTGATATGAATGTCACACTGGTATCCGTGCTTGAAATAATGAATATACATACTATTATTGTAATAAATGGTACTTCATTTTGGAGGTACTATAATTGTTCGAAAAGTGCAAAATTTCAAATATTGTACTTTTGTGCACTACATTCCCAAAACCACATCTGTATCACAAAGCAACCAATACAAAATTTCAAAAATTCCAGCTTCATTCCTTCACCCTAAAACCCAACTGTTCCAAATTTAGTACTATTTAGTACAGTTTTTATACAGCCCCATATAACTATACCTCCGAAATTCGGTATTTCGATGATTTTTGCCCCATTTTTCTCGGATTTGTCTAAAAATGGGTATTTGTTGGTCGTACTACTAGCTCTGATGCCGAAACATTGTATGCATATGTCCACATTTTGGTATTGACCCCATATAACTATACCTCCCGAAATTCGGTATTTTGATAATTTTTGCCACATTTGCCCACGAATTTGTCTAAAAATATAACGTTATCCACCGATATTCGGTATTTTGATAATCCTAGTCACATTTACCCACATAATTGTTTCAAATTTGGTATTTTAAAAGATTTGATGGATGAAGTATAAAATTTTCTATAGAGAGTCCCCGTTTTGGTATGTCCCCATATAACGGCCTTACTCACTTTATGGTGTTTTGAAAAGCTTAACTGTATTATCCAAACGATCTGAGTGGTATATGAGGTTTATAGTGAAACACGCTTGAATGCAAATATTTTTGTATAAAAATGTATCCTTTACCCTAAGGTATTAAAAGTTGGGCCCGACCGAACTTAATATTTTTCTACTTTTTTTTCAAGAAATATTGTCAGTAAATGGATTTCAAAGTAATTTTTAGTATATTTGTACAATTACAAATCACCCTGTCATTAATAACATTCAAATTGTGCGCCTATAAGTATGCTTTAATAGTTATGTTAAATTTATAGTTTTATAGCCTCTGCTTGGCTGCCTTTTATAGAATACATTTTCTTAATCGAGTTTTAATACAAAACTAATCTTCTATCAATATACCTTGATATGAAATTATGTGCCTGAAAAAAACTCCCAACATTTTTAATTAAAAATATGTTGTGCAAAAAAATATTATAACTTAAAATAATCTCTCACAGCAGTAAGAGCTTATACTTGCCTTTTCAAAAGCCAATTTAAGTAATGCAATAAATACTATAGTAATTTCAGTTCATCGCTATATTATACCGGAAATGTTTCAAAATGCAATAATTCTGAATGTAACATTCAAAATATTAAAAAATTCTAGTATTTCGAAATTTCATACAATAATTGCTAAGAATTGCCGGGCACTTTTTACAAAATATTTTTGCCTGACTCGTTGATAATCCTCAGTTATTTTTTCATAAATAAAATCAATAAAAACTAATTGCATAGTGATTTCAGTTATATTTATTTTCTATGGATATATATTTATTCCACTGCATCCGAACTAGACTATC